CCGAATTGTACTTTGATATTGCTCGAAGGACCTTTGTTTTGTTGTGTGCGAAATAATAGACAGCGTTCGGTTTCGATGTTTAAATACAGGACGGTTACAGAAGTACTGAATTTACATTTGTATTTACAATATCAGGTAAAGATACCCAAAAGGGTCAGTGGCCGCTTCCGTAAATGGAACAAAATACATATTCACATTATAAAAAAATACAAAGTTAATGAAATTAATAATAATAATGATATATTTGCCCAACAGAATAATATCCAATTATAGGACAATTAATCGTATCCAAAATAATAAAATAAATTCGCGATTAGTTAGTATAATTGCCTAGATAAATACACCCCTACGAAATATTTTAACAATAATAAATTTAGTACATATTTACCTGAATTTTCGCAAAAGCCGTTGTTAGGCATTCCCTGAAGTCATTGTAGTTATCAGTTACTAATGTCATCTTCTTTGGGTTTTCAGGTAAAAATAAAAAATAAGCCAATCGAAAATGTAAAGGAAAATTCTGAAAGTATTGTGGCATTAGAGGAACAAAATTTTGTATAAATGCACGGAACAGCATTACCAACCTATTATTTGTGATTTGTCAGTGTAAAGTTACATACTTAGTTAGACAAACATCGTAGTGATTAGTGTTTACTATTTAGTCACTGTAGTATTTAGGTTAATTTAATAATTTTTAGAATAGTAAATACGTAAGTGGCAAACAGATATATTCAGGAATATGGGGCATTCATTCCAAGAAAATTCTCAGCATTTTTGGTAACCGCAAAAGTAAAAAACGACTAATTACTTTGATCACCTTGATATTTTTCAAGAGTTATAGTTTTCGCTGAAAATGGACTCTCGTTTTAGGCATTTTATTTTTTATTTAAAAAATTCATACGTTTTTTTTGAAAATGCAACATAGTGACTTAAACATTTTTATGTCACGAGCATGTACATGTATCGCACTGCTCTCAAAATGTTTTTCTGAAAAATTTCAGTTTCACAAATCCGGCCCTGTGCACTTTCACAATGGGTAATGATTAAGGGTGCTGTAAACTACCCACAAACTTAAACACGGAACCGGTTCATAAAATTCATATATTTTTAACACAACTTTATTAAAAAATCAGAATGTTTTGGTGGTGAACCAAAATTCAAAATATTAAAAAAGGCAACAGAAGCCTGAGAAAATATCATACAGCGCCGATGTTTTTGTTATAAATTAATAGTAAGCATACACAGACAACGCCGTCCTGTATTTTATTTTAAATTTTAAATTAGAAATATACGTTAATTTTGTCGAAGGCATTGTGTCAACAAAAAGATGTAAAAGTATTTCAAAAGAATATTGTTTATAAATAACATAGTATTATTAATAAGTGAGGTACCATTCTGCATTTAAGTTGATGCTTATGCAATTTTTTATGTGGCGAAATATGTACTATTGTATACTTAAATTCTGAGTATTAAAAAATTCAGTTCTAAAATATATTAAGCTTTTTTAAAAAAACAGGAAAAGTTATCTAATTCTACAGTATTTCAATTAATTAGAAAGTAGGTACTTGAAGCATTTTCAGTACTTCAAGTATTTGTAAGTACTTGAAGTATACCTCCAGTACTTCAAGTACTCGTAAGTACTTGAAGTAATGTACTTGGCTTGTACTTCAAGTACATCTGAAAAGTACTTGATACTTGAAATACTCTTGCTGAAAGTAAGTACTTGGTACTTTACTTGAACACTATTTCAAGTAGTACTTTGTACTTGGTACTTCAAGTACTTTTTTTGAGTACTTTGAACAGCTCTGTCAGGAATCTTAGTACATAGTACAGTGTGGTGAACTTGGTTTAAATATCCAAGAATAACACCGTAACACCATTTAAGAGCACTTGTGAAAGTCAAGACCGCGCCAGTTGATGTTCCGTACTACGAGTCACAACGCTTGCAGTAACTGATGTCTAATGTAGTGTAGAGGGTTGGCAAATTAACATTACACCAGTAAATCTCCAGATCAGGTTCTTTCGGTTGCAATCGTACGTTCCCAGTTAGTCCTCCCATTAACGGTGTAGTGACAAATGGTTGTACTGGGGTGATCAGTGGAACAATGTCATCTTTTTGGATCAATTCCGGTTTTATTTGGAACAAGGTGCAATTTTGCTTTTTCTGTTATCACACGAATTATCGTCATAATGATGTGTGAAGGTAGATGTTTTAAGAGTGGGTCTCCATTAATTGTTATTCAGTTGCCTAGCTTACCTCCAAGAGGTGCTGGAACCAATAAACTCTTGATACGTACAGCAGAATAAAGAGAGCAATATCACGAGACTTTTCAGCAGATGTACCAAAGCCAGAAATAGCTTTCCTTCCTTGGCCTCCAAGCGTCCCTGATTTATCCTCAATAGAACATGAATGAAATATGCTGAGTCGTACAATCTCACATTTGCTTTATCCTCCGCAGACCCTACCACATTTTGGGCAAGTCGTTCAAGTAGGCAAGGTTAGTATGAATAAAGGGGTATCGCCTACTTAGTCAGTTTGATGCTACGATGGGTAGCAGATTGTGTAGCTTTAGGTGGTAGTCCTTGACATTATTAAGGTTACATATCCCTAAACTGATGTAACTAGGGTTCAATTGTCACAATTATTGAAGGACCTGCTCTCAATATATGTACCGAATTTAATTTTTTTGCGATTTAGTATACATAAATGAAGACCGAGGATAAATCTAAACGAAGGCATCAGGTGGATAAAGTTAAATAAGAGAGGAAGTTACAGGAGATGCTGATTCAGGGTTTTTACAATTTTTAAAAATGGGAACCTTTTCAATGTTAAACAAAATTTCGTGGATATAGACAACACAAAAAAGTTAATGAAGTTAAAAAAGGCAACCAATTTCCGGAGATAAAAAGGGCAGATATTTGTTTTCATAATAGAAAATTGTAGCGTGTGATGTCCCTTATACTCCTTTACCGTTATATTCCTGGAAGCGAGATAAAACTTTTTCATTGCCAACAATAGCACTGTATTAGTATATTTCTAAAATAAATTTCGCTTTTACTGTATAATTTGTCGATTTACTGTAAAGTAAATATAATAAAAATCTAAACTTATTTTAATTTTACGTTGGTTATAAATTTGGTAGAATTTTTGAGTGATGACCCCATATTACTCAGTTGTATAATTCTTTCTCACACATGCTAAAAGCTGTGTGATAAAATAAAGAACAATACTACTGATTCGTTTTGATAATCTGGAAAAGAATGTAGAAGTTGCCCGATAACAATATGTAAATAGACCACTTAAAAGATTATTTAATATACCTACTTCTGTAGTGAAACTATGTATAATAGGACAAATATTTATTTAGTCATTTTGAAAATAAATGTTAATATAAAACATCATTATTGATCAAAAATGTGAAGATGTAACTGAGACAATGCGTTTATTTAACTAAGTTGTCTCCATCATCAAAATGGTCAAAAAAGCTGCCATAAATAAAGCGTTTGAAAATTTACTTTTCATGGTTTGTCACGTGTTTTGTTCTTTATCTATACTGTCAACGCAGGTGCAACACCTTTGAATGGTTATCTAAATCTATAGTAGTAACTTTCCGTTCGCTCTTCAGATAATAATCTGTAGGTTTTTAGTGTTTAAATTGAAATTAGTTTTTGAAAATTTTTGTGTACACAAGAGGAAATAAAGAATTATTTAAAATCAACAAATTAGTTACAAATATTTTTAACATCTGTAATTAATTTAATTCCCCAAATAAAACATGCCAGTTTTTTGTTTAGGGAATAAACAATGCATGGACATACAGACTTCATGAATATTTGATCTGTACAACATGTGATATTGCTTGATGATCATACTAACATGCTTGTTGCTGATACAAGAACACTGATAGCTTAAAACATTAAAAAGAGAAGGCTTACGTTGTAGTTATTAAAAAACTTAACCTTCTACCATTCACTTTGCAATTTTGCATTTTCTACTTTTGACTTTTCAAACCGGCTTAGCGACAATTTATAATGGTGGAATAAAAATTAAAAGTAAAGTGCAAAGTTCTTAGAAGTTTTGTATTTACGAAATTAAATTCACATCGTGGAATATACCGTTAGTTTGGAAAGTCAAATGTGCAAAGTGCAAGGTTGCAAAATGAATGGTGTAACAGGGCCAGCCTGGTAATATCTACAATTTACTTTATCTGTTGTACTACTTTTTAGAAACGTACTATCGAAAACCATTTTCCATAGTATACGTTACGATAAATAAAAGTGACCTTACATTGATGGCTTGTTTGGTCATGGCCGACTAGTATAAAGATTATGGCCTGTCCAAAGGAATGCCAAAGGTACCATACGTGCTGCCATCTATTAATAATACAAAAACGACAAAAGAATTATTAACACTTTTTGAAAGGTACAAAGGCATTCAAACCGAAACAAACCACCATTACACGTTTTGAAGTCCCATAATGTCAAGTAAAATTAAAATTTTGCTAAATTATTAAGTGTAATTATTAATAGATGGCAACACGTATGGTAACTCTTGGACAGGCCATAATCTTTATACTAGTCGGCCATGGTTTGGTTAACCATGACAATAACTGTCAGCTAACCAAGTGATATGTCAGAGGCACATTTGGGTCGATGCCGCATCACTAGTTGTATGTGATAACAAAAAAATCATACTCAAAAAGAATGTGCATAAATCATCTTTAAAGTATTAATATTAGTTAACATCTCTTAGGAGTTTTAGTTGTTCCTCCATGTTCCACTTAGTAATTTCACAGATTCAAAAATGGACAAAATATGTAACTTTCTTACTTATATTCAATATTATGATTAGAAATTGTAAAGGATTTCTGCACACTAGTCGAGATGGTTTATAAAAATATAATTTTAACCTCTATACAGTTTATGAACACGGTTAATAGATATATATTTTTTACTTTGCGCTATTTTTGGCAATTTATTTTTACTTTATTTTCTTTACTTACTTTATTGACTTCCGAGTAAAGAATGTCTGGAAACGCCACAAACGCGAGTAGAAGAGACACAATAAAAAAGACGACACTACATATCAACACAATAAACAGCACTTTGATACTACAGCAGGAACAGGCCATTTTTGGACTTGTTAGATGGACGTTGAAAATCAAAGTGATGTGGTCTAAAATTAATGAAAACGTTGCAGATAAAACATTATTATTATCACCATCATCGATTAACAATCTATAAAATATATTTGATTGTTTTCAAATAAATCGATAATTTATTCGTCAAGTAAGTGTTTACAAGATAAAAATCGTTATCTATAGATTAATCTATACATTGCAAACTACACTGAACTGTCATCTTGATGTTTTGACACAAAACTATTATGTGAATGACGCCAGTTTCATGACTTACTATTTTTTAAAATCAGTGCATGCATGAATATTGTCTTTTTTTTAAATTTGAGTTTGACTAGTATCTTATTATTATTGAAGAGATAAGATAAAATTACGATTGTACTAGAATTCAGGTATTAAACTGTGTGATTTGCTTTGGTAATTTATTTTTTTTGTAATAGCACTTGAATCAGTATTAGCGGTATTTTTTTTTCAGTAATAATTCTAACTTGTAGATAAAGTGAATCCATGATGTCAGTTACTGTCATTTTGATGAATTATATGGGTAAATACTGAGAACAGTGGTAAGAAATAAAATAATGTTATTAGTTATTACAACAGCTAATAATTTTAGATTAGATAAATACAACAACTTTCAGCACCTATTGACTTTTTATTTTTTATCAAGGCTTGCAGGATTATTAGAATCTATTTTTGCTTTTAACAACATGCTAGTAATAAAAAATGATTTGTACGAGATTAATAAAAGTTTTATTTAGTTGCGTGGGTACATAATTTTTATGCAAAAATTTACTGTTTTAATTTACACTTTGTTAATTTTAAAACTTATGATAAAATAGAAATTATAAAACAACAACAAATGTTACTTTATTGTACAAATCAAACTTAATTACTTGCCTACGTAGTAAATCAACTTATCTTAAAAAATTAAAAAAATATGGCACTAATCCTACCGTAACATGTTTAATCAACATTTATCTAGATCGAAAACACTGATAGATAAAAGATTTCGCCTATACATTAATAACATGTAAGCTACATTGTCAACTGATCCAAAGAAGTTTTGGAACTTCATTCAACAAAAGAAGGGTCGCAGCCAGGGGCGGCTCATGACTTGAAAAGTTGATGAGGCAAAGCACAATACGCTCCAAAATATAAATAAATCAAGATTACTTAAATATTTTCTACTTAGTCAAATAAACAAATTTGTAAACTCATTTAACTGTCCACCAAGAACCAACGTGAAGGTGTAAGGAACTCTTGTAAGGAAAGGATGGGAATGACAGGACAAAAGGAAAGGGAAACGTGGTCAGAAAAAACTAATATAACTTAAAAAAAAACAAAATTAAAATAAACTTTGAAGAAAACATATCGAAAAAAATCAAATACAACATAAAATAAACCTAATTTGATTTATAACAAAAAACAAAACGAAAAACATATAAAACATAAATACTCTGGATTTATTTTAAACTTTTTTATAGATCAATTAACGATTTACTCAAATCAGGCACCGGCCGTTTTAATTCCTTAACTACATACAATTTATCATCATACGTGAAAGTAGAAAAAACAGAACTGCTATTGTCATTTAACGTTAGTAGAGAAAAATTCCGACTTACTCGTAATCTTAAATAACGATTACCGAAATCAAATTATGACAAGCACAAAGCACTAACGCGACACACGCAAACGTAGGCACTTTTAAGACAAAATTCTGTTACCGCAATTTTGAATCAATTTATGCACACACAGATTTGTGGCAAAACAATCAACGGCCTAATTTTGAATACTTCTGCAAATGCAGACTGCATTGTAATCCCACGTTCTCCGCGCGCAAATATTGTTGTCTATCTCTTTTGCAAGCACGGAAATGAGGCTAGCCTCAATTTTGTCTTTTTTCAACTTATACCGCTTATGAGTGTATTGCAGGTTGCTTGCCTATTAACGATATGATTTCTATATCTGATGTAGAGGCAAGCTTCGAGTTTGCCTCATTCGCGTCACAAAATACATGTTGTGTCGAGTGTTTCAGCGCGCTGTTTAATTAAGGGAGCAACGAGTACCTACTGAGATAAAAATAAGAATATAATTTTCCATATTTATTTTTTAAATTTTAGAAAAAAGACACATATTATTGGCCGAAATGTGTCGTTAAAAAATAGTAAAAATCCTAATAAGGCGTAAAATTCATTGGTGAGGCACTGCCTCACCTGCCTCATAGGACAAGCCGCCCCTGGTCGCAGCCCTTGGAATTATGCACTACAAGGATATCACGCTACAAACACCAACTGATATTGTTAACGGATTTAGTCACTTCTTTAAATCAGTCTATATGTCTGCTAATACTATTCCTCCTGATAATATTACAGCAGATATTGACCACGATATTACTGTGGCTATATCAAATACCACTAGTGATGAAGTTTATTAAGCACTTAAACGATCCAAGAACAGTTTTACATCTGAACCAGATGGACTTCCAAGTTTTTTTTAAGAGACTGTGCTACTGTACTGACTGAACCCTTAAGATATCTGTTTAATCTTGTTATTAGTAGTAAACAATTGCCATCAATTTAGAAAAAATCACTTATATGTCCTGTCCTTAAAAAATGAGATATGTCAAAGATAGAAAAGAATTAATTCGCGATATAAAACCTGTTTTCATCTGAATTTTTGTCATGGGTAACACATTTCATGGTATATCTCATTTGTGTGATATTAATTTTGATAGAGTTAATGTTATAAAACAAAAAAATTTTTAGGTTTATGGAATGTAATTATTTTACTTTATTTGTGTAAAAGGTAGGTTTTAATATGGGAATGAATATGAAGTTATTTTTTGTAATTGGGTGATAACACCTGTAGAAAATAAATATCATTATTACTATTATTATTAATAATAATAGAAACAATTGCAAAAATTTTGTGCTTTATATATTGAGTGACAGAAGTTAAAATAACAACAAGAAGGAATAATGATTTAGCCCAAGAGTTGTTAAAATAAGAATTGAATGTAATTTAAATGTTATCTATCCTCGTTTTAAGGAAAGCGATTTTTTTCTTGAACGCTAAAAAAATGTATCATGGTAAGTATGGCTCGTTTGACCACTGCTGTCGCGCAACTCTAACTTAACTTACACCGTACACTTAGAAAGGTACGTCTTGATGGCACCTTCACAAAATTTTGTAAAGAAAAAACTCATTTGAAACATATGCGTGGCACCCTTCTTTATATCTACTCTAACATTACATACATACATTTATGTTAACTTATAGGGGTTCTTTAATTTTGTAATTTTTCGAAAAAGTTGGATATGTTTTTTTTTTGTTCTTCAGTTCTGCCGAAACAACCTTCGACCAATTTTTCTGACTTTAAATTATAAACTAAACATTTAAAAAAAAGTTTCATCAAAGTCACAACTATTTCTTCACATTCGTTGTTGATGGGACATTCTGTTGAGTAATGGAAGTTTTTAGATTGTCCATTTTTTATTGTAGTTCTGGGTTTAAGTTATCAACAGACGTAGCGAATTTATTACGCAGTTCTTAACTGTATTAATGCTTTAAGATGGCGAAAGACAACATATTTTCTTCACAAGAAGTGGAAACAAACTACTTTAATTGATTTACATTTGTATCTTGGAATTTGTATATCTTGTTCTGATAAACCACCCCCCATATAAAGTGTGTAAATCGACAATTGGCAAGCATCGCACTGTGTACCGGGAATATTTCGTTTCAAAATAGCACTGCAGTTTCCGCATTTACTTTGTCAAAAAAATTATAAATTGTATCCGATTTAAGATTGATTAGAGGCAATTAATTTATGATCACATATAAGCATTAAACAGACAGTCTTCACACCCTTGGGTGCTATCAATGTGCCTAAGGAAACGATACAGGAAAATCGCGAATAGATAAAACAATGAAACAACAAAGCAGTAAAATAATGCACCTGTGATAACATTTAATTTGCAGTTTACGAATTATTGTGAACTTGAGAAAAAACAACTAACAGCATATTATGCATAATTAATTGATTCAATACCTATCGAAGAAATAATTAGTAAGTTTTAAATTTGATTCGAACTATACCATTTAATGCACTGTTTTTACCACTAAAAATAAGAAAAACTGCGGAGAAACTTAACGATACCTACAATGGGTTAAGAGTTCTTTTAGAGCACGAATCCCAAAATTATAAAAGGAGCTGTCAGACAGTTTTTTATAGGATGTGTGCTCTAAAAGTTATTTAAAATTCTTGATAGATGCGACAGTATAGAGGATATTGTTTATGTAAATTAGAATCTGGATAAACGCACGTTTTTGAGCATGGCTCATCAATAAACAAATCGTTCCACACTCTGACCATAAATGGCCTTTTTCGGACACTATATTAACCAAATTTTGTTTGCAACTTTAATTTTAAGTGATGTTTCTATTTTGTTGTAATTAATTTATATTCTGTACTTCAAGATGATTTTAAATATGACCATATTTTCCCATCGAAATCAATTTTTATTAGTCTTCTTAATTTTAATCTCCCAAATGTTTTAGAAAGCTGGATTTACCATCAGGAGATTAAAAAAGATTAAGAGATAAGAAATAAAAATTTCGTTATCGATATAACCTTTCAACACAGATACAATTGGTAATTATGTCGACCCTTCAACCATTCAAAGTTCATCTACACTCTACAGTATAGTTCAAGTACCAAGCAACACCTGAAGTAAGTCTTATCGCATACCGTAAAAGAGATAAGCACAGATTCCATATTCTCCTGTTCTAATTGGTGTAGTTATGGTGGATAAGAAACGGAAATATACAAAAAAATGACTTTTGTGCCTGTTGAAACTTTGAACAAGGCACATTATATACACAGTTAGTGTGGTTTTCACAATGTATAGAAAACTAGATATGAAGTCAAAAATGCAAACGATACAAATTCTCGGACGGGTGTTTAAAAATTGTTTATAACTTTAAATAATTAAATAGAATAGAAAAAATGATTCTAAAGATTTAAATAGAATTTCTTTCACTCTTGAGGC